GTTATCAGCCTTTCCAGATTTTAACATGATAGAAGAGTTAAATGTGATTTGAAACAGAAGTTTACTGTTTGAGAGCATATACATGAGGATTCTCTTTTAGCATCCGTTTTTCTAAAGAAGCATTGTTACAATATCCATCACTGCTTAGATAGTGAGACAAAGACATTGCCCAACTAATTTTCAGGTGGATTTTGCTAAAGCTTTGGGTGGTCATTGGATTAATTTATGTAATGGATGCAAAAATTCCTGGCAAATTTCTTCCAGAAACATGTTATTCATTACTTCAGATGTATATAACCTGATAGTCTCATTAAAAATTGCTGCCATTAAGGAAAGAAATAATATCTATGATTCCTATGCTTACAACTGTACTAAATTATTGATATTTTTTATTAATTGTAGATTTCTAAAAAAAAATTTGTAAGCTTATTTTGTGAATATTGATAAACAATATACTCTCAGAAATAAAAAATATAAGGGATAGAAAACAGGAATATACAGATCCTAGCAGCCACACAAGTATGCATTTCTGATTTGTTGACTACTCTTTCTTTGGCCAACTTTGATAATAGCAGTAAAAAATTACAGTATGAATTTTGTCAAGGACTCAAAGACTAAGATTTGTGTCAGGAAATCTTTTTGTGTTGATTTTTTTTTTTATTTTTCCTCTTCTTTATCTAAATATCTTTTTCCTGAAAAAAAAAAAAAAGAAGAAATAAAGAGGCCTATGCTTTTTAAATTTCTTAAAGCGTTAATTTCCTCTAAAAGATTATTTCCTCTGCTTCAGGAAGTTGGCACGCAGCAAACCACTTCTAAATCAAGCTGCAAGCCGGTACTGTAAAAACAAAGAGTTTATTGGTACCAGACATTTGTAAATAAGTAATTGACACTCAAGCTATAACAATAAGCAATTCCAAAAAAAACAGGCAGCTGCCAGAATAAACAAGTTTGCAATGAACTCCATCCAATGCTGTATATCCATCAGGGTCAGTCCCATCAGTGGTGGTCAAAACAATAGCTCTGGGACCAGCTGGAGTTCTGCAATGAAGCAGCCGTCTCCTGCTTTTGTCTCTTCCTTCCTTCTTTCTCCACAGCCTTCCACTGGGATCACTAGGCATAGGCAGGCTGTGAGCTGTAGCAATGATGTCTGAAAATTGTGTCTTCGGGTTGGTGGCAAATTCAAAGCCTTGGGAATTACTGGGAGTTGGATACACAGAGGACCAAGGCAAAAGGCATGCTACTGCCAGGGGAATATAGACTCAACACCAGCTTTTGAGGGACTAGAATTACTTGATCAGGCCTCCCCTCTTTGGGTTGGTGCTATGGGGATGCAGCTCAGGAACAGACAGAACACACTGACCCTTCTTCCATTACTGGGAGGGATAAGATGAACATTCACGGTTTTTGCAAAAGCATCTAATTAAACTTTGGAGTAGATTCCCCTTCTTCCCACCATTTTAAGCTTCTGGCTGGCTTTCTCAAGTCCACCCTCCCCCTTCCTACCACTGCCATTTTCTGTGCTTTTTTCTTAACTAACTTCTCCATTGCTTCCTTAAGCAGGTCTGTAAGAAAACTGGCAGAGTAGGAAGGTAAGAGGGGGGTGCAGCAGACATTTGCCAAATTTCAGCAACTGACAACAGTCCTATAAAGTTGAAAGGCAAAATATAAGGTAAGAATGGGTGTAGAGTCTCTGTTGAACTGTAAACACTCTGGTAGTGGTGTGCATGTTAAAAACTATTGGGTAATAATGCACTTGAGCAGAAAATTTCTGTTAATCTCAGTGAAACATTATGGTTTAAATGAGGGAGCACAGACCTCCAGACTGACTATTCTTTCACTCTTGTCTAATACAGCATCAGAAAGATGATATACATCAAACTTGTGAGCTAGGCAAGAAAGAATAACCTCATTATTAGTGTGATTTAAAAACAAAATTAAAGATGGCTTTGTGTGGAGTGAAACTGTTCCTAGCGCAAAAAAAAAAACAACAAACCCTGCATTCCCTTAGTTCAGGGACTACAGGTGAAGGTGTTTCTGGAGTAGGTAGTTTGGTTCCCTCACACAGTGTGGACAGTTATTTTCAGACCACTCGACTGACAATACAAAGAGCTAGGGTTTTGGGTTGTTCTACTTTTTGTAAATGGGGTCTTTTTACATAACACTCTTAGCAATAAAGTTTTTGAAAGGTTGAGGATATCTCTCAAAACTTCTAAAAGCCTTGGCTTAGAGTATCTGTTATATGAGTTTCTACTGGCTTTGACCTTCAGGATATCTCTTTTTAATGGCTTTCCTAGAAGGAAAGAAAACTAGAAAAGATGAAAACCACAGATTTTCTTTGTTATCAATTATTAAATTTTTCTTACTGGGGGTTATGATGCAGGGCTCTGAAGTGAAAGCCCAAGACGGTTCATGGTGTTTGGAGAGGGTTTGGGGTTTTTTTGCTGGGGCAACCTTGAGACGATGAGCAGAAAAGCCAGAATACGCAGAAGATAGCTTGAATTCTGTTGAATGGTGTTTTAGGTGTCAGGTGCTGGAGGCATGCTGTTGAAAGTGTTCTACAGGTAAGCGCATAAATCTGTTTTAATTGCTTTCATTAAAAAAAATGTTTAAAATCATAAATACTATAGGTCACAAAAAACATAAGACAAAGCAAATAGTACAGTAATAGATACACACCTACATTTATACTGTAAATCAAATATATGCTGTTATAGTGTAGAAATCCATTATTTTTAGGAAAGTGAGTATGGATTACCAAAGAGATGTTGCATTACTGTGGCTATTCTACGCTAATAGGAAGAGTATTTGAATTGTTCAGCAATAATATTTTCAGTACTTGTGTTATGACAGCAGATTTCTGAAATGTTACTGAGCCAGAGTCAGTCACTCTTAATTCACTTGATGAGTGACACACAGAATGAGAACAATTATTCCCAAATTTAGCTGTTCTTTTATTCTCACACTGATGTATATTATTTCCCCCAAATATTAACTGAATGGCTTCTAAACAATCAAGACTTCAGTCTTGCGAAACTGCTTGCATGCTATTCAGTTCAACTATGTTGCTCAGCATTTATTTGTGGTGTGCAGCGAATGGCCTGTGTCTATTGTTTTTGTTCCCAGATTAAATCTCTGAGGGCTTTGGCAGTCACAAGCTCTGTTGAAGTCATGGGTCTCTGAAGATGCTCACAACTTGATTATGTTGTTGTTAAGGGTGTTAGAATTTTCAATGACCTACTCACCAAATACTGCAAGTAACAGTAGGAAAACCTTTTTAATTTGTACAAGCGCTAGTGCGACATGAAGACCATTCCATCCTCCAAATGTATTTCTGTTCAAGCAAAGGGTTACCATAAACAAGTAAAAAGGGTGTTGAGGCATTGCTCAATAACCACAGCCACGATTTTGCAATGTTTGTTGAGCTCTGCAGGGGGTTTCCTGGGAGCAGAACTTGGATGGTTTTAGTAACAATATTTTAAGTTTTGTCTTATGGCTTGTTTCATACCATTAGAGCTGAATGCTGCTATCGTTGCAGAATTGCTAGCTATAGATCTTGCAGCAGTGCATTTGTCTGATGTAACCTATAGCAAAACACTGTGTAATTTAAATACCAGCTTCACCCACGATGGGCCTCTGGTACGGATTAATATTCAGGGAATGTGTCTGGGCATCTTTCCTATTTAACCTGGTTGAACATTAGGAACATTATTTTCAGAACTCTTTCCTGAATGTTTAGGCATAAACTGTTCTAAGAGAAACATATAGACAGTTGCCACTTACTTAAACCAGTTTTGTAGAAATTACACATGGGGATTTTAAGATGGCCTTCATGTGTTTTAGCAAAACTCAGCTTACATAGTGCTCTGAGGCACAATACAATCAGATGCTTTTTCTTGTACAGCTGAAATATGGGGAGGAGGAGGAGGTGTGTGTGGGGTGTGTGTGTTCCAATATTCCAATAGATTTGCATATCTTTACAGAAAGAACTACTCTTCTGAAGCAGCAGGTAAGAAAAAGAATATGGGTAAAATATTTGGAGAGGAATGGGAGAGGACATTTAATATATTTAATCTTATCTCTTATTATACATTTTTCTACATTAAAGTCATCAGGCTGCAAATATATTCTGCTACAAAGCTTTGTGTAAGAAACATCTCTATAAGAAAATACATCTCATAAAACATTTGCTGTAAATAAATTATCCATGTTTTGCAAGAGGAGAAAGGGGGTAGACCAATGATAAGAACTAAAACCTGCTGATAGCCCATTTCCACAACCCTCGCTGTTCACACACTAGGTATCATTTTCTTGTACAGGTAGTCACAACGAGAGCAGTAGAGCTCTTCTGCTATGCGCTGTGTCACTGTAAACAACAAACAGTTGCAAAATTGGTTCCTGTACTTTTTAAATATCTTGAAATTATGCAATTTCTGAGCTTTATTCCCATTTCAACTACACTGAACTCTGAAATAAGCAGAGTTCCAGTGGTAGGATTTCAAGATAAAACTCTGACTAAGCCTATTAAAAAGTACAGTTTTATTGACCTAGAGCAATCACTCTAGGTCAATAAAAACTAACTCTAGTAGGGAAAGAAGGGTGTGAAAATCTCTTCTTGCTTAGATTCCAACGAAAGAGAAAGGCAATGTAGATGAGAAGTCAGAGTCAGGTGGTGTACCTAAGCTACAGCTTTAAAATAACCACTGGTGGAAAAAGTTGTCGGGTATGGGTAACATGGTCTTCAAAGTTAAACTACATACTGGTCTACCCGCATTGTTCAGAGCTGATTGATTAAACAGAAAAAAGTCCCTTGTATTACAAAACATGAAAATGGGTAATTATAAATGGGTAATTACAATTTAGCAGTAGGTCAATTATAGAAGCAGACTTCTTTAAAGAAATATCAGTCTCTTTACCGATGTCTATACAAAGGAATACTTGCAAATAAGTAAAACAAAAGAAGTTTGAAAAGACCTGGGAGACAGGTCAAGGGATAGAGACTGTTAAACAGTACACAAACAATGTAGAGTTATCAGCTGTTTCCACAGTCCATGTACTTCCATCATTCCTGGCAGAACAGTCCAGATAGAGGACATCAAGTTCAGGCTGAATACATGCTGGAGGCTGGTATGCTGTGGCATCGCATGATGTTTAATAAGTCATTTGAGGTTGTACCATCTTCTTACAACCTTTTCTGCAGGAGAGGAGGTGCTTACAAGAGCCAAGTCCTTTTTCTTTGCTGCCACTAAGAAACAAATCAGCTATACTTCTGCAGAGTGCCACCAGTAGCCTCTTGCTACTAACAAAATGTAAAAATTTGAGTTCGTAGCAGTATGCTCTAAACACCTCAACAACTGTCTACATCTAACAGCAACAGTGAAACAACTTCATAGCTCTTCATTTTAGGCACTTCAACACTGCTATTTCTTTTGGAAAAATCTATAATGCAAGTAAGGCTTAGGCAAGGAAAGTATATTTAGGACTAATGAGCAGCTGCCTTTATATAATTCTGGATTCAGCATGCACATATTTGCTTCATCTGTTCAACCCAATGTATACTAGCAGTAAACTGAGGCAAATACAAGCGATTAAGTGCCATACTATGATATGGATCTACATAAAGCATTTTAATTTATCTATGTATAGGAAACAAAACCCTGTTTAAATGCCTCCTCTTAGAAACTACTGCTCTCTTGAAATCTTGAGATGGCAAGTTTTCACCTCTTTCACAAGGGCCTGCAAAACACAGAGCACTCTTGTCCTGCAGGAGTGCTTTCTTTGCTGAAGTATCAGCCCTGAATGACAAGGGCATGCAAACATTCACAGTAACTTTATTTCCATTTCTCACACTTGCGATGTGGCCAATATTTGTTGACAGATAAGTCTTCCTGGCATGCACTGCTTCCTATAGGAGTACAATGTATACAATTTATTTAGCAGTTATTACCACACTGGAAACCCACTGTTGTAGCCCTAACACTAACCCCCTGAAACATCACAGGACAACGTGGCAAGTTAAGTGACATTAATTTCCACTGTACTTATTTGCATACTAGCCTTTCCCACAAACTGTAGAAGTTATTTACAGAAAAGCTGCACAGTAGGAGAACTCCAGCTGCACTTGTGTTTACGAGCAGCTCAAATAGAAATGCATTTGGGGTGACTTCTGCTCCTATCCTGTTACTTTAGCTATTCTGCTTTCATTTGCAGTCCTTATTTCCCACCGTGCCATAATGCATTAAATACCTAAAGCCACAGTCACTTCATACTACCCTCACAATCCTCATTCAGATTTTCTGGCACACATGAAGTCTTGATTTAGAAGAGGAGGTCGCATCTTTCCATACTTTGCAAGACAGCCCCTTGGCACAGTCACATCGTTGGAAAATCTCCAGCCCATGGGCCCCTTTCTTGCGCTGTTTGGTGCACACCTCCCCCTGATGCAACACAGGCTTGCAAATTTTGGTCCAGAAATGTCGAGCACAGCAGTGTCCCTCAATACAGTCTGATGACCGTAGACAGGGATCGCCTTCATGTCCTAAAAAGAAAAACCAAACTATTTTACCTCATGGGAAAACATGAAAGCACAGATTCAGTGCAGACTGATGCAAACGAAGCTCAGAAATAGGAGAGATTATATTTCCATCTGTGGCTATTTGAAGGATGCATACACAAGAGAAGATATAAATTAGGACGATTCAATGGGGTAATTAATGGGACATGCCATGAGGCTTAATAAGGAGAAATTCATCTACAGGATTGTAAGCAGAATTACAAGTGCTTAATTACATGACTGCTAATATAGGAGGATGTGCGCAATTTTGCACAACTGAAAAAATCATTTTTTGGCCACCTCTGACTTTGTGTCAATGAAAAAGAAAGCAGACGCTATTTCAAACACAGGAACTGTTGGTTGATCTTACATCACTTTTTGAGTCATATTGTGAATTCTCATGATAGACATCCTCTCCCTGTGAAATTATGGCCTATTTCTGGTTTGCATTTCTGTATCTTAACAGCAACATGATTCATAACACAAAGGAACAAACTAAACACAGTTTAGAGCAAATGTGACCTTACCTTTTATGTGTGACAGCTTGGAGCGTGGCCTTCCTAGGTTTTGCCATCCCAAATCCTTGCTAGCATAATGACCATTCTTCTTATTGCGTGGCCCTTCTAGAGCAGGGATGTGAGGGGTAAGGATGCTTTCAGTTACTGGTATGCAAATACCTGCAATGAAAACAGTCAGTCAAGGATTTGAACAAGAGGAAAAGCTACAGACACGTATACATAGACTATGATCAGGACCAGGACCAGGACCATGAAAGTGCTGGGGCTTGGCCTTAGTGACAACCCGGATATAACGATTCCTCTGTCGCTGACCCCCAGAACCCAACTTCACCACATCTCTGCACCACTCACTGTCAGACAGTCTCACTGTCACTCTGGCTTTATGGTCTGAACACAGGAAGAATTATTCTCTCTCCGGTCTCCAGGGAAGGGATGGGAATATAAACAGTATGGTTGTAACCACTCCCAGGGAGAATAGATCGATGACTGATTAAGTCTCTTTTGCTTGAGTTCTGCACAGTCTTCTAGCGAATCAAACCATATTGAATGAAGTGCTGTGATTTCAGTCAGCAGCAGCATTTTTGAGCTTCCCCATCCCAAAACAGGAAAAGGTCCGGTAGTACACAAGCCTTAAATATATAAATATTAGTAAACTAAATGGAATAGAACAAAAAAGAAAATAAAGTTTTCTAGGTTTAGAAAAAAGAAGCTCAGTCACCCAGGAAAAAAATACTGTTGCTGGGAACACTCAGCGAAATAGATGCTATCAAAATGCTGATTTTAAGGAGGAAAACAAAGAAATGCCTGTTGTACCATTGTTGCAGCGGTTCCCAGGGCAGCACATGCCATCTCTGTGGCAACGCTTCTTCTTCCTCCGGCACATCATGCATGCAGAAGTTGCTTGATGAGGACTGTGACAGTATCTCCCAACTTCACATTCCTTATCATTGGTACAAGGATAGGCCTGGTGGGTAAAATAAAGGTTTACAATGAAGCACTCCTTAGTACAAGGCATGTATGCAGCCTATTTAAAAACAAAACAACCAAAAAACAGCATCAAAACCCCAAAAAAGAAACCAATGGTTGGGATACCATTCACTGGGGACAGGGGATGCAGGTTGCAATGCTTCACTGCAGCCATATAGCGGTCTTTAAGCTCATGCTGCTAGTGAAGATGTATCTGGTTAAAGAATCAGGGAAATAGAACCAGTTCCCTCTTGGTTTCATCTTTTCTTGCCTCAAATATATGTTGGCATCATATTTTTGTGGGTTCAGGCCTCTGTTTCCTAGGCAAGAGCTTAGAACTCCAAAGTGAGGTATAAGCAGAGTCAGAAAACTCCTCTCAGTGAGTAAAAACCCTGAAACACCCCTCCAGTATGCAACAATTTAAACTCTGAGAAGGTGTTTTCCTCTGATAGTTGTCAAGCATACTGATGAATAACAGGTTCTCTGTTCTCATTGTGAGCATCTACACCACATTGGTACAAGGTCCTTTGTAATTACACCAGTCCCCACTGACTTACACCTGTTGGACTCCTTGGAAGTGAACAAACATTACTGGTCAGCATTTCACTTAGATAACCTTTTCTTCATTTATGGGCTTAGTATACTCTTTAAACTTGTCACCTGCTAAACAACACCCTATGGTATGCAGCATGAAATATATTATAAACTGTCTTGCACATATAATTCCCTATAAGCAAAGGCACACATACAATTCTCTTACATTCATCAAAACCAGCATTACTTTACATGAAAACTGACTCTTAAAAAAAGGGTGTGAAAGCACTGTATTGTCCCATAAAGAAAGAAAAGTTTATTCCTACAAAAGGAAAAGACATGATGCTTTATGGAGACAAAACAACACACTGCCACATTCCAGGATAGTTTCCACTGACTCCCACACAGCTATAACTATGCTCTCTGTCTGCATCTAATTTTACTGCCTATTAAATTAATCATAGATCTTTTTCATTCCTCAAAATTATACTTGAGGAATTTGTTTAGATAAAAAGATGAGAATAAATTTGGGCACTTTCTGGAAAATCATGTTTATACTTCCTCAACTAATTTTCTCTGTCATTTTAAAATGAAAAGTATTTCTTTTACTGTTTTCAAAGTGACTCTTGCAATTATTTACCGCAAACAAAATGCTCAATGGATTAATTTTCCATGTAGGCTGATTAGGTTTCTAATAACATTTTAAATCAGAGCTTGATTATATTGTTCTCAGAAAATACAAAGTTGGAGGCCATTGAGAATTTGCTCTGAAAATTGTTCTTTTAGATAGAGTACTTCTTGTTTCTCTATCTTTCTGCTGTTCTTTTGAGATTCAAAGAAACAAGTGGTCTTATGAAAAAACCACAAGCAAGTTTCTCTAGTGCATTAGTGAGAGGCAGAATCATGCCATATCCCATGTGATTTCATTAGTTTTCTTTGTCAAAATTTACTTTACAGTACCAAAGCTGCTGGCTGGGTATTTCTCCCAAGTGCTGCTGCCCACTACTTCTGCCCTCTGAATATACATCTTTGAAGAATAACTTCAGAGTGCAGCTGTCTGGAGTAACCTGATGTATGTGTAAGTTTTTCTCCCTTAAGAATAAACATTTCCTCTTGAGTTCATCCTCGCGAGGATGAGCATCAAAGAAGGCCAGATCTTTTAGCTAGGAGCAGCAATAAGAGACAAATGCAAGCACTCACCCGTTTGGTACTCTTAAGGTATAAATGGACTCTACTGATTTCAGCAAGGCAGAGCAAAAGGGCTCTCCCCTCAATCTCATCACTCCTTTCCCTCATTTTTCCAGAAAGAAATCATGAACACAGACTTAGAGTTTATAATACAGTTACCTTAAAAGTAAGGCTTCCCTATCTTGGAGGAGAACTTACTAAACTAAGGATCTTCCAATGCAGAAAAGCAATTTTATACAGACCTGTGCATGGTTATACTGAGTTTAGAAAATACTAACACTGCTAGCTGGGGGAAATGTAAATAAAAAACAGATGGACTAGCTAAAACCTGGAGATGAAGGCATTTTAGACCCTTGTCTGTCATCAGGTCCTTCATAACCGCATCTTTTTTCCAATATGGGCATGTGGTATACACCTGCATCTTGTCAGCAAGAAGCCTACTTGCAGTTTTCTTCTGGTTCCTAAAATAGCTTTAAAAAAAATAAATAATTAAAAAAACACACACACAAAAAAAACACCCACCAAAAAAAAAAAAAAAAACCCAAACAAAAAAAAACAAACAAGAAACCAACTAAATAGTTGCCTGACCCTGAATGGTGCTTATGAATACTCTCACATACCATATCTAGGGGCTGGTTTACTTTTAGCTAGTAGGCTGAGTGCCCGGGAAACGATATTTATAATATGCATCTAATTGCCAACTCTCAGCTCTGTCTCAGAATGGTAAAGGTAACAGAAGTCTATTTTGATGTTAAAAATTACCAAGGGAAGTGCTGTAACTCTGCCTTTAGTGCCACTCTAAAGTCCCATCCTAAAGAAAGATGAACTTTTGAAATTAAAAAGCCAAAACATTGACCTACCTAAGGCAAATTACAGCAGTACATCAAAAATAATTTTGTGTTACATGTAGCTCAGCTAACAACTGGCAAGTCTATTCAAAACCCCAAAAGACCAGCTGCCAGCCAGCTATATGAAAAACCCTCTTGCAAATGCCTGATACCATCAACTGCCTTGATCTTTCTTCCAAAACCACCATCCACTTGATAGCCTAGCTATCAATCACAGGGAACTTGAAACAAAAATGACCACATAGCCTTGTGTCTGTCTCCTAGTCACTACACATTTATTGAAATAACTCCTGCTCCCAGCAAAATAATTTCTGTCACTGCACTGCATTCAGTATTAAACCACAAAAATAAAAATAATATAGTGTGTACTTAGCCTTGGATAACAGGGGGGTAAATGTGTTCATAACTATCTTGTTGGCAGTAGCTGAGACAATCTAGGCATAAATAAGTATATATATTTTTAAAATACAGGGTAAAGAAAACTTACTTGTAAAAACATACATGCAAACAACTGTCTATGTGTGAGTCAAGTGCAGTCAAAATCTCCTGCACCCCAATGCCTTACAGTGTCTTACATTTAGAGAATCGCAGAGAACATTTCCTATATACAATGCAAAGACACAGATCAGTCCCAGATGGAACAGGAAAAAGCAAGCTGTAAACCAGCTCCACTTCCCCAACAATGATAACTAATTCTACAAGACACATCATCCCTTCACATTCTTTAGCTATACATATCATTTTCTGGTTGTAAATCTCTATCCACTAAACACAGCTTTGATATCATGGGAAACCAGATGAAACTGAGATAAAATATGTAGCACTCCCTGAAGCTGCATTTAAACAATCTTATTTAATTTTTCTTTGCCCAGCTTACAGGCAATCAAGTCACCCATAGCGTGACATAAATTAGATTCGCCTGTGATAATGAGTCATATTTTCAGAATGTGTTGTCTGATTAAGAGCATTGTTTGCTGAGATGTTCTTTCCTCAGTCATTCCAATTATTTCTGTATCCTTGTATAAAAGATACTGTTGAATGTGTGTCCAAAAATGTACAGCAAAGATCTACTGGGGTTTTTCTGCAGAGTTGAAGGGTTCAGGCTAGATATTTAAATGGGTGCTGCTTATTCTGTGCCAAGATGTCTCCTGCATCAGTCCACCAACCTTTGCCAGCCATGTCATAGCAACACGTAAGTGTTAAACTTTTCTTTTTGAGAGAGAGAATATTGCATCTACATTCCTATCCTTCCAGAATTTCTGTTCAAAAAGGTTTCTGCCAAAGTGGATGACTGACAGAAGAACTAGAGAAAAACCATGCATATGAAGGAGGAGAAAAGTTAGGCATTTTTACAGCTAAAGAAGTCCATCCAGGTTATTGAGGCTCCTCTTTTTGCATTAACTTCACAGTGAGGCTGAGGAAGGGACTATCTAACTTCTGCGATTAAGTGGCTAGCACCATTCCCTTGATTTCAGGAGTGTGCAGGAGTGAGGTTTATTCTACCTTTGCCTTGCACTTTTGGCACAAGAAATCTAACTTAGCACCTTTTCTCACTTCAATGAGGTTTTCTTTATATTTGTTCTGGAGTCATTTGCTACACCACATATTTTATATGCTCATCCTGAACCACAGAGTTTCACTGCAAGCTGAAGCAATACTAAGTGGTAGGACCGTTGCGCTATGGAGTCAGTCAGTCTGAGTCTTTCTGTCTGGTGTTATAAAACGTAATGGAGAAGCACTGTGGGGGGACAGTAAGACAGACACTATAATGTGCTGAAGTGTGAGTGAGTAGACTGATGGCAGACACACTTTATTGAGCTTTGGGAGATAATGGCTTGAATTTCAGTATGGCCTTCAGCAAATTTTTGAAGACGATATTCCCGGCTAGTGTCTTAGTCACCAGGCTCTCATTTGCTCATATTATGATGTGTCATTTGTCTTTATGCTGAACCTACTCCACTCTGTACTAGCTAACTATGTCAGAGAAAGGCAGGAAGAGTCACTGGCATTTTTACCTAGGCTGTCGTCACTTATCCAGCACAAGCAGTCCTAGACACTGCTGGCTTCAGACCCACCTTCAATGCTGAGAAGACCTCTTCCTAAACAAGTGATTTGGTGGACAGATATCAGTAGTGAGTCCCCAGAAGTAGTTTACTTATTTTTATTTAAACACATCATAAAGTCCAAGTGAGGAGTTTGGTCTGGCAGCAGATCGTGGCTACTCGCAGAAGAACAGCATGGAGGTTATTCATTACCTCTTCACTGTGTTTTGTGAGCTGTACTCCAAAAGAGAACTAAGGTACCACATAAATGACAATATCACTGCAGTTACTGTACTGGACACCCAGCTAGCTTCTGTCTCATACAATCATCCCCTGATGGTACTGGGGGCTGACCTGAAGAACAGGAGAAAAGTCACAGCCAGTTG